ACGCACACGCTGGGCAGCTTGGAAATCCTCCTGCTGCTGGTCGAGGTCATTCGAGACCTCCCGGGGCTCAACAATGGCACCCTCCTCTTCCTCTTCGTCCTCCTTCTCCTCCTCTTCATCCGAGGAGCCGAAGAGACTCTGATAGGAGCGTCGAGTCTCCTTCTCCTCGCGGAGTGGAGACTTAGAGGCGGTACGCTTCTTTGAGGGCTTGGCGCCTTCGGCTTTAGAGGCCTTAGCGCGCGCAAGACCCTCGGCAAGCGAGAGACGTTTGCGAGGACTCCCTTCCTCATCGCCACCGGCTTTGGGAGTGCCCTTAGCCTTAACGGCCGGACTCTCAGAGCGCACAGAGGTCCTGGGACTGTGATCACCGTGATCACTAGCGGACGACTGCACGCTGTCTTCTTTGTGCTCACTGGGCACTGGGCTGTGCCCTCCCACAGAGCCCGCAGGAGCATCATGAGTGCTCTCGAACTCGGCATCGTCCTCACTGCCCGAGTTGAACTCATGTTCTACGAACCGAGGGTTCGGACGATTGTCTGAAGACGAGGGCGACGGACTGCGGCGCCTGCTTGCGCGCTTGTCCGCAGCCGCGTCACCCGAGGATCCGATCGCCTCGGAGGCCACCTGAGTAGCCTCCTTGAGTGCAGAGCCTTTGCCGTGAGGCTTAGTGCTCTTGGCCTGCGCCTTACCGGCTGCAGCCTTGGAGCGTGTCTTAGCACCGCTCTTAGCAGTGCCACGAGGCATGTTAACGGTCGAAGTGGAGACCTTGACGAAGAGCGCACAGGTTGCTGCTCGAGGCTCTAACTGTAAAGTGAGCCTCCGCCGCGCTCGCGCGGCCGAGTCGATGGTTTTCGACTTTGAGAATGAGAGTTTGTGACGAACATCTCTTCATTCTGATTGGTCGGTAAACCGAACCTAAGTGGGGGAGGATGTAACGGGGTACGTAGCACTAAGTGTACCCTGGTTACATGAAGTGTGACACTTCACACTTCAGGAGTATGACATGTCATACTCCGGGATATTTGGTACAAGGTACCAAGGTCATTCAAAACCAACCATTGGTTAAATGACATTGCATTACTATAGGTAACTGATAGTTTGTATTAACCTCAAACTTAACCTACCTATAAATATACTCAGTTTACAATCTACCTTATTTAGGTCACTTCGCTCTCTTTAATTAAAGAGGGGACCTGTGAACTGCCGTTCACTGAGAGTTTGTATACTCTCGGAAGATAACTTCCTCTAGCGCAAGGTGCTGTGTGACCCCGTCACAGGAATTGACTGTCATTTAGCGAATAGAGAGGGTTTTAGTCAATTAGAGGGACTGGTTTAATGAGCCTCATATAGTCTCGTTTGCTTTGAGATACTACATTCAAGCTAAGAGCTACCGGTAGTGGTCAGTTATAGAGGTTCAAATAAGGAGGTGTGACTGTAAAGAGAACATGGTCAGTTACATGTATAGAGGTTCAAATAAGGAGGTCTGACTGTTTAACCTCCAGCTTTTTCAAGAATTTTACTTTGCACAATTTAATAACCTAAAAACCCGCAAAAAAATTAACAAGAAGAATCAGTCGCCTTTAGTAGCCTACGATCAAGCGTCGCCATGACCGTCTATAGCTGGGGCCGCGGCGAGGACGGCCAACTCGGGCTTGGCGACACGAGCGACCAGCACCGCCCCGTTCCCATTGATGCACTGGCCGAGCGCCGCATCGTGCAGATCGCGTGCGGAAGCGGCCACACTGTCGTACTCACGGGTGCGTTTTTGTAAAAGCGTTCAAACTAAGATAATGCAGTCTGGACTTAACTTACCGTTTTTTAAAATGATTAGAAGAAGGAGAAGTATACACATGGGGCCGCGGTGATGACGGGCGTTTGGGTCACGGAGATAATGGCTGGAAATTCGTGCCGCGCCTCGTAGAGGAGCTACGAGGCAAGAACATTCGCCAGGTCACGTGCGGCAGTTACCACACGGCAGCTGTGACGGTATCGGGCGACCTGTATACGTGGGGTGGCGGTATGTACGGCAAACTGGGCCATGGCAACGAGACTGGTCACTCGACCCCATATCTTGTGGAGACGCTAAAGAGCATGCAAGTGCGGCAGGTAGCCTGTGGTAGTCGCCACACGGTCGTGCTCCTGGAGAACAAGGACGTCTACACTTGGGGGGACAAGGAGAACGGTGTCTCAGGCCACGGCGACACCGAGGGACACCAGTACCTTCCGTGTCCTGTCGAGGAGCTTCGTGGCAAGTCTATCGTCCAGATCTCGGCCTGTGGTTTCCACACAGCTGCTCTAAGCGAGTTCGGAGAGGTTTTCACCTTCGGAGAGGGGAAATTCGGGCGACTAGGACACAACTCAGAACGAAACCAACCTGTGGCACGCTTTGTGGATGCGTTGGCGGGTAAACGCGTAAAACAAGTCGCTTGTGGAGGCTTCCACACTGCTGCCGTTACGGAAACAGGAGAGGTATATACGTGGGGAGGAGGTGAGCATGGACAACTTGGACATGGTGACAAGGTGAACAAAACAGTGCCAACACGTGTCGAGAGTCTTTTGGAGAAACTGGTATTGCAAATCACATGCGGATGGAGTCATACAGTCACACTAACCGATACAGGTGAGGTGTACACATGGGGAAACGGAGACCACGGCAAGCTGGGCCACAATGATACGGCCAAGGTGACGTTGCCAAAGCCGGTGGACGTGCTGGACGGAAAACGTGTGATCAGTGTAGCGTCTTACAACGAGCACACAGTCGCATTGGTGGACCCCGTGGCGATGCTACGTGCTTCCATGCTGACGTCGTCGTATGTAGGCGACATGCGCCAGCTTATTGACAGCGCTGAGTTCTCAGACGTGACTTTTCTCATCGAAGGTCGCGCGGTACATTCCCATCGCGCTATTTTGGCTGCTCGCAGTGACCATTTTCGTGCCATGTTCTCGTCAGGCATGCGTGAATCTCACGAACAGGAGATCCCGTTGTCACATACTCGGGTGCCAGTTTTCCTCGCACTACTGGAGTATATTTATGTGGACTCGATCAATGTGGGTGCTGAGATGGCATTGGAGCTGTACGCCGCCGCCGATCTGTACACATTGGACCGCCTCAAGGGCCTCTGCGAGATTATCGTGCAGAAGAACATCAACGTTGAGAATGCAGCCGTGCTCTTCCAGTCTGCCAATGACCTTCATTCGTACCGACTGCGTGAGATCTGCCTGTCATACATGGTGCAGAACTTCGACATGGTCACAAAATCCGATGGTTTTGCCAGCCTGTCCCGTGATCTCATCCTGGAAGTCTTGCAGAATCGGTAGAAGGACAAGTAGACGACAAACTGCTCACGGCTCACGGCCGCCACTTTTGGTGTCATGCTGTTGAATGTTCGCCACTCCTCTTAATGTACCGGTAAACAAAAAACAAAAACAGCTATCATTATTACTTGAAAAAACCAGCATTGCCCTTCTTCGTGTCCTAAGTTCTTCTTACTCCGTCCTGGTTGGCAATCTTTTGGAAGTTCCAGTCGTGCACCTCGATGCGCTTACCCACATCCTCCAGGTTTTTCGTCACGACCTTGAGCCAGAACTCGGCCAATCGGAGCTCACCTTCAATCGACACGGACTTCATCTCGGCACGATTGTAATCGCTGTTGCCCTTCAAGTAGGCACGATGGCTTTCGCGTTGGGCCTCCCGCATCTTCTCCAGGACAGGGTTCACAGCAACGAGGTGATTTCCATTGCCATCGGATGGCATCGTGGGGGTCAGCGCGCTACTGTGGCCACCGCGTGGAGACGAAACAGTCACTCGATCCAATATTGTGACTGATTTCGGTGGCGTTGACGACTCATGAGGTGCTGCTGGTGAAGACGAAGGCGCGCGGGCATCTGGGAAAGGACGACGGCTCTGCAAGTGCAGGTGGTTGTAGCCAAGGGAGCTACCGTAGTCATCATGACTGCCAGTGGCGGATAAGTGGGGCGGCTCGTCGAAGCTCTTATCTTCAAGCTTAGCAGACTCCTTCACAGCGCGCCGCACGTCGTGCTTCTTATCGGAGGGATCAATAGGTTTTGCCGCAGGGGGACTACCCGCTGACAGCGTCAGAGACGGTTTAGTTTCTAACGGGTTCATAGCCCGCGTGTCGTTGTAGCGGCTGCTACTAGGGCCACGCGATGACCCAGATCGCGAAGCTTCATCTTCACTTCGGCGCCAACGGGAATCCGACCGCGATCTGCTTGCCCGGTCGCGACGTAGGCTACGGCTACGACTGCGCCGACGGCGAGGGCTTGCACTACGGTCTTGTGGACTAAAACTGCTGTTCCGCAGACTAAGGCTACGCCGATGAGGGCTCGGACTGTACTGGCGCCTTGGACTTGAGCTACGGCGATGCGGAGATGGACACTGTCTGCGCGGACTTGAGCTTCGTCGAGGGCTTCGACTCCGATGACACGATACGTATTTCTTGTATCTGCGTGGGCTGGGGCTTTGGCGTTGTAGACTGGGGCTGCGCTGGCGTGTATGATAAAGTCTTCGACGTGGACTGGGGCTGCGTCGATGACTCGAGTCCCAGCGACTGACGTCTTGACTTCGATTTATGTCGAGGCTGCGGCTTCTGCTGCGTCTACTCGTGTAGCTTCTTCCGCTACTGCTCACTTCTCGTTCTCTTCGGTACAGACGACGCTCGTGACTGGCGCTGGGGCTCCTACGTCGCGGCTGGTAACGGTCTCCGCTTTGATCGGTATTGACCCACCCCTTTCTAGCCCCCCAATTGAGCGATGCTCGGTCTACGATACTGCGACTTCTGCTGCGACTCGGACTGCGGCTACTACGACGTCTGCGGCGGCGCGGAGAGCGACTCGCGCTGCGTCGGGATCTGCTGCGATCCATCGAGGGAGGCCAAAAAGAAGTTGTGTGTTTAATACACCACAAACACACACAAAAAATATTGTACCATTTCGATGGAACAGTTCCATGTAGAAGGAAACAGTCTGAAACATGGCGCTATTTCAGCAAAAGCAGCGGCCGCTGCGCGCCGCGAGCTCGAGTCCCAACGCGCCGCCGTTACTGGTGGCGGCAATGATAACGCCGTTCTCAGACAACAGGAAGAAGAGCCCCAAACCACGCAAGTCGCTATACCGCCCCAAGGCGGCCAGCAGGAAAACGCCGCCAACGCTGCCATCTCCAGTACCAGAGGCTCTTCGCGTTCCTGTGGAGGACGCTTCGGTGCTGCTGCAGAGGCTCAATACGTGCGAAATACTGCTCAAGACTAGCGGGCAAGTGATAAGAGAACAATAAGTTTTTTTCTACAACGATTTACTTACGTAACGATGATATCACAGTCAAGAACAGAGCGCAGTAGAGTCAGCGCACTCGGGTTTGCGACGTACATGCGTGGAATTAATTTATGCATACCCGAAGACGACCAAGAAGCTGGTCAGTACAGGTTTATTTCAGTTGTTGATATTATACGGTAAACTGACGATCAGTTTGTGCAGAACATCAACGAGAAGCTGTGGAGAAGCTGGTACCGTGACATTGAGGGCCAGTCGTTGTTGGTGTTGAAAGCTTGCTCGGCGTTTTACTCGAGTCTTATGGACGGCCTACAGAGCTCATTGCGAACACGTGGCCGCCAGCCGGAACATCTAGATGGGTTAAAGCACTCGTTACAGCAGTCGCTAATTGCTCTTGGAGATGTGGCGAGATACGAGCAGAACCAATTTGGGAAAGAACGTCGGGACTGGAGCGAGGCTCGGACATATTACCAGCAGGCCTTGGAAGTGGCCCCGTCCAACGGCAAGGTGTACAATCAACTAGGATTGCTCGCAGTGCTTGAAGGAAAACTGCTGAATGGAGCTTACCTGTACGCTCGTAGTCTCACGTGCGCGAATCCTTTTGCCACTAGTGGCAACTTACTTCATGTGCTGCAGCGTGGGAGGGATGCAGGGAAGCAGCTTCAAGTCCAACAAGAGACACCAGGAGGTTCTTATAATACTTGTGAGGCGATGGAGACCTACTCGACACGTGTGCTTTCGTGTCTTCATATGTTTCAGATTGGAGAAGGTGGCAAGAAGGAGTGGGACGCAGCCTTGGAACGTAAGCAATCTGCGCTTATTCAGCTACTGAATGCCTGCGATGAAGAAGACGAGACGATGCCGATTGATGGTCCTCTGTTAGAGGCATTATCCAGGATGCTGACTCGAACTGTGTGCTTGTCAATCGTGCTCGCTCACAACAACGTTGGGAAAACGAGTCGCCAAACGCTCGACGACGCCTTTCAAAGATTGAGTAAGAGTGAATTGACCAAGAAGGCGCTGGCAGTTGGCCACGTGACGGCTTGCGGTTTGTTGTCTAAACTGACTGCAGTGCTGTCTGCTTCAGCGGAATCTACTCGGACCAAGTACTTCGCTAATGCTCTATTGCCAGCACTGAATATTTTCCTGGATTGGCTGCATCTGCACCAAGGTCTCGTGCTCGAGCCAAACGCGTCTTCAAAAGCGCTACAGGAAGAATGCGTGGCGTTGTCCCGCATCTTGTCAGCGAATGGGTTCATTGAGCGCAGCTTGTGTTGCGCACAGAAGCGTGAAGGTAATCTGTTCAACGCCATATTGCCAGAAGATCGCGAGCTGAACGGATTTTTGCCTTACAAGAAGGCTCTTTACTCTCGATTCCCTGAAGAACTCACACTAGAAACGAAGGTGTCTCGACAACTGACGGAAGAGGATCGGCTGGTGCTACGTGCAACGCGATTCATGGCTTCTAGCGAGAAGTTTGTGTTGTCTAGAGAAACGCCAGCCCCGATTTATTCTGTGCAGGCTGGGGATACTTGCAAGCCACGCAGTTGTAAGAACTCAGGGCTAAAAACTCCATCAAAAGCGACAAAGACGATTACGAAAGCGGATCCGCTTGCGATCGATCCTGTCCTCGCAGGTCGCCTGTGCATCTCGTGCAGCAATACCAGCTCATTTTCAGATGGAGAGTGCGAATATTGTGGTTACGAAGACGACATTGACGCTACGTCAAACGACGGAAAGGATGCAGTGCAGCAACCTTCGTGGGTCCAGGGGTACGACTTGGCGTGCAACAATTACGATTTTAGTCCGAAAAGGATTTCAGCGTCGCCTCGTTCTTCACCCGCTCGTGGCACACGCCCCATTTCCTCGGCCTCGTCTACCCCAGCTTCGTCTCCCCAGTCGGACTCCTCATATTCACCACCACAAAAAGTCGAGCCGGACTTTAAGACTATCATGTCCATCGGAGCTGAGTATGCTGACTTCCGAGACACTTTGAATGCTAACAAGGATCAGCAGCACTTGATCGTGATTGACGCGCCTAATGTTGCAATGCGTCATGGCAAGGGCAAAGTCTTCTCGTGTACTGGGATTGAGCTGGCTGTCAACTATTTTCAAGCGCTTGGTCACCGTGTAGTCGCGTTCATCCCCGATTATATGCTGCAGTCCGACGAAGAGCGTGCCGAACGCGAAGAGCAGGGCGAGGTCCTCACCACCGCGAAAATCCCTGATGATGTTGCGTTACTGGAGCGTCTTATGCACAAAGGGGTGCTGATCCCCACGCCACCGCAGGATTACGATGACTCGTACACGATCCAGTACGCTGGCCTACACAGCGGATATGTAGTGACGAACGACTTGTTCCGAGACCACATTGTCAACATGGCGGGGCCTCGAGAGCGCAAAGTGGCCATGCGTGCGTGGCTGCGAACCCACCAGATCTCGTACTCGTGGATACGAAACGAGTTTTTGCCCAACCCAAACTTTCGGTACGAATGTAAAATGTGCTATGGTGGACGATCGATTTTACCAATTTGATGTTCACTTGCTGTTAGCTTTCCCGATGGTGCGTTCTGAAGTTCACAAACACGCCAAAACCGGCTTGAGACGAGCCACCTGATCACTTCAAGGTGAGAATGCATCCTGTGGGCATCCGCTAGGGTACGCGAGGTTAGGCTCAGGCCCGGACTGTCGCTATCATAGTGAGACTGGAGAGGCAAACCATTTCCCAACCGCCGAAGCCCTCTGGCCAAACACATGTAGTGGTCCAAGTGAGGACGACGACCCGATTCCATTCGACCCCAGACACTCACACTACTCCAGTACATGCATGTACAAGCAGTAGCTTCTTACAAGTCAAGTTCAATACACTCCAGCACTTGAATATGAAAAGTGACCAGTGCTTCGAGAGGTTGCTGGACGTTGGTTCATGAAAACTTTTGTCGAAATTACATACTATGTGTATCAGCACCCACACATCTGCCCGCCTGCCTGCCTGCCAGTGAGTTTTTTTGACTATCGCTCTGCGTCTAATGGAACAGCTGCGACACCGATTTCTTGCCGTGGATGTTCTGGATAGCCTGCGCCAGTAATGGGGCAATGTCCAGCTGCACGATCTTCTCGTTACCTTCGCAGCTCTTCGGCAGCGGCGTGGTGTTGACGACCACGACCTCCTTGAGCGCCGACTTCTTGATGCGTTCATTAGCGGCGCCGTTGAACAGACCGTGGGACGCAAAGGCGTACACGTTGCGAGCACCATGGTCAGCCAAGTGCTGCGCGGCCTTGCACAGTGTGCCGGCCGTGTCGATCATATCGTCGACGATGATGCAATCGGAGCCCTCGACTTGACCCACGAGGTCCATGCGGTCGATCTCGCCGGCCTTGATACGCTGCTTGATGATCATAGCCAGACCAGTGTTGGGAAGACCATACTTGCCCACAAGCCACTCGCGGAACTTCTTAGCACGAGCGACGCCGCCAGCGTCAGGAGACACAACAACCGGGTTCACAAGCTCGTGGTTGCCGAAGTATGACACACCCACGAGACCACCGTCCAGGTTGTCCACAGGCACATGTGGGCCGAAGAATCCCTGAATCTGACCGCAGTGGAGGTCGACAGCGATGACGCGGTCCACGCCCATAGCCTCGAGCAGACGCGCGACATCAGCGGCTGAGATAGGCACACGAGCTGCCATCTTGCGGTCCTGGCGGGCGTAGCCGTAGTACGGTATGACTGCAGTGATACGACGAGCAGAAGAGCGACGCATAGTGCTGACCATAAGCAGCAGTTCCATGAGGTTCTCGTTCACTGGCACACACGTAGGCTGCACAATGTACACGTCCTTGCCACGCACGTTCTCGTGCACCATGAGATTAACTTCTCCATCCGCGAAGCGTTCGACTGTAATTTTGCCCAACTGCACACCCACGAGCTTGGCCACATTAGAAGCGAGCTCGTGGTTAGCGTTGCCGCTGAAGATCTTGAGTCCATTGATCTTGGGCTGCTTTGCCACGGGAGCGGGTCGCGGGAACGCGTCCTCTGCATGCGCCACCGACGACTGCGACTGCTGCTGCTGCGCACCCAGCGCGACACCTGCGGCCGCAAAACCCATCGCCAGAGCGGTCGAGGAAAACTTGCCGTGGCGAGTTACCAGGTGGCGGAACATTGCTACTGGTAGGAACAGAGGAACTTTAAAAATGTATGGAGATGGCTGGCCGCGACAATGCTTGTGTGGTGCACATGTTTCAGATATGACGTACGCAGCGTCACCCACAACCTCGTGCTAGTGACAGTAGTGGCTGCAAGATAGTTTATCGCAGTTCCAATTCAGACGCATGCAGAACCAAGGCGGGACCCAAGATGGCGACTTGCCCTCGTCGCTGCCCTCGTACATGCCTACATCATCGCAGGGTGCGTCGACAAGCCTTCCTTTTGGCTACAATATTTTAAACCAGTCAGGTGTCAAGCCCGGTGCTGATGCGGCGCAGCACCAGTGGAAGGGTCCGGTTCAGAATCAGCTCATGTACATGGGTAACAGCGCTCGACCTGCTGGCTTAGTGGCCACCAAGAACACAGGGCTCGCTGGAGCCCAAGCCAGTCCGTCTGAGGGGGTGCGAGGCATTACATTTCAGGAAGGAGGGAGCTATCAGATGATGGCAGCGGACGGGAAAGCGGCAGCGCCAACTGCCGCTGGAATGCCCGTAGCGCTTAAACTGGGCCGCCAGGACGGCACACCGGCCTCTCAGATCTCAGCGGCACAGTTTGCTGCAAGTACAGGAGGCTTGGCCATGGACACGGCGCTACTGGCGCGCGTTAGTGGTACAGATCCGTCACTTATGGGCTCGGAGGAGATCAAACAGATCATGCGTACGCCCGACCTGTTATCTATATACCAGAAGTTGCAGGAGGAGGACGATAGAAGACAGAGACGGCTCGAGCGCAACCGAGCATCTGCACGAGTGCGACGTGAGAAGAAGAAAGGTATGGTGGAGACGTACGAGACGGAAGTATCCAAGCTCGAGAGCTCGCTAAATATGCTTAAAAGCCACGAGTTTGGCACAGGCAATGCACAGGAATTAGCAACTGCACTAGGTGGGGCTGGTGTGTATGTAGAGCGGAAGCTTTTAAGTGCGTAACTATCGATGTTGATCGTCGTTGAGCAGAATACAGTTCGGGGGAACATCTTCGTCACGCACAGATGTCTAAGGAAGCCAAGATGGAGTTGATGGCCAGAATTCTAGGTCAACATTCATGCAACACGGACGCGGTACGATTTCCTCTTTCTGTTGGTTTATGTAGTCTGGATCGGGATATTGACGCATTTCGTTTGCTGTGCTAACTTCCAGATCCGTCGATCTAATGCTGAAAACCAAGCGCTGATCGCGGTAGCTGTGGACAACTCGGAGTTTTCTCGAGCCTTACGCGCTCAACTCGGTCTCACTCCAGAACAATGTCAGCGGCTGGCTTCCTTGGCTGTTCCTACCTGCCAAGAAGCACGAAAGCTGGATGCTATTCGGAAATGCTTTTCGGCGTTGCGAGCCCACGATTGGCTTTACGTCCCTGGTATTGAGGTTTGAAGATATCCGAAGGCTACACTGCTTTATATCCGGGAAAGTTGACGATGGCCTTTGTGTTGTAGACTGTTCTGCACCAATCGCGAAACACGATGACTTCGCACCAGTTTCAAAAATTTCTGTCTTGGTCTGTCGAGAATCGCGCATCGATTGATCGGTTGCAGGTGCGTGCGCATTCCAGCATAGCTACTGGGATTCTAGCTCAAATGCTGACTTGGTGCTTGTTCTGTGTAGTTTGTACCGACGTCATCAGCCGAGGCGGAAAAGGACTTAGAATTTATCTTTTCGGAGGACTAATACTGTTGCTGCAGTCTAAGCCTATGGCAGTGATGAGCTCACGGTCATCTTTCTATTTTGCTCCAATTTTTTTGCATCGTTTTTGCGTAGTAGGTCAACGGCGTCGGTAGTTTAACCCCGCGAGTCAAGAGTCTAAATCTTTTGTTTGGTAAGCAACCGGAGTCTTAGCTAAGTGCTCGAATTGTTACCGTATTTTTGCGTAAGGTGGACTGTCGTCTCGTCCCCTGTCGTTCACAGGTCGAGGAAGTTCTGGATGAGTTTAAGACCGTCCTCGGTAAGGATGCTCTCTGGGTGGAACTGCCAGCCCTCGACTTTGTACTGCTTGTGTCGCACGCCCATGATCATGTTGGTGCCCTTGACAGTGGCCGTCACCTCGAGTGCGTCGGGTAGCGTCTCCGGCAGCCCCACAAGTGAGTGATAACGGATTGCTTTGAACTCGGGTGCCATACCCTTGAATAGGCCCTTGCCGTCATTTACCATGACCGAAGCTTTGCCGTGCACGATCTCGCCGGCGTGGTCCACCTTGCCGCCGAAGACTTCGAACATGCACTGGTGGCCCAGACACACGCCGGCAATTGGGATTTTACCAGCGAATTCGCGGATCACATCGCACGACACGCCCGCATCCTTGGGGTAGCCCGGGCCAGGAGATATCATGATACGGTCCGGGTTCATGTCGCGGATCTCGTCCACAGTGATCTGGTCGTTGCGCTTCACATCCACGTGGGCGCCGAGCTGGGCCATGTACTGGACGGAGGCATTAGACCACAGAAGTGTTAGGCGGAGAGGGCTACTATGATACACAGATACTACGGTGGGCTACTGACCTGGAAGATGTTATACGTGAACGAATCGTAGTTGTCGATGAGCAGCACACGGGTCGTCATTGTAACCAGCGGGCTGTTGTCGGAGTGGTCAAAGGAGCCCTACTGTTGTTCCTTTTCGCCTACATTTTTTTAGCATTTTTAATTTAAAAAATAAATAATTGTACAATTTGTTTTCCATATTTGGTATGGCTTAGCGGTAATACAATAATAGTATTCCACAAGGAAAAGTAGTACTGTTGCAGGGCAGAGAAAATTGGTGTCGGATATACGCTGATAATATTTAACGCTGTTGCCGAGATATTTACTAATTAAAATACCTCTATACTTTGTTGATCTATTTCGTAAGGGTATTGTTATTTGGAAGGGATGGTCATTGTCAATCCGTCGACGAGATTCTTTCCAGCTTCTTCACAACTGCAAATTCTCAGTGAGCTCACCTACTGCGGTGGCCTTTGCCCAACATGGGCCATGCTTTGTTGAAGATCAGGCCAGCGCCATGGCAGGTGAAGCGATACCGGCGTTCGACACAGATTGAGGTATGAGAGGCGGCGCGGGACATGGAGACTTTGTAGGATACGCTAACAGGAATCTGGGACTAGTAGGAGCTCTCGCTCAAGCCGCTTAACCCCAGTGAAATTTATCCTAAGAGAAAGGATCAAACATTTCCGAGTCAAAAATAGGCTGCTTGATTTTATCCTATGGCTCCTTTTACGATAGGATAAAATTGTCTACATTCACTCTTCATCGCCCCCTTCAACTCAAGCGATTCCGCGCGGATTGCTCCAACTAGCATGGCCGACTCCTATACTGAAGAATTGCTATCGGAGCGTGAAGAAGACGGCGAGCTTGATAGTTCGACCATCTCGAAGTGGAAATGCGTCGAAGAGACGTCATTAGAGCTCGGGATTGATGATGTGGAGCAACACCTTCTCGCGAAGGCAAGACTAGAGGTCCCCCGGGTCTGATGGCGCGTATGTACGGCAAACGTTTACGTCCTCTCCAACCTGAACTTCCTGTTGAGGACATCGTACAATTGTGGCTAGATCTGACCGTGCTGATGCTGAGACTGCAGCATATCAATGCAAACCTGGATACCAGCGAGTTTGCAACGGTGAATGAAGTAAAAAAATTGCTTGAAGTGGAGCTGTGGTTGTGCTACTACAGTATTTCGCCGACAAAGTTCTATACTGAAGAAAACAAGAGGAACTATCCTCCTGCAAACGAAGCAATGAATCGTAGGCGTTATTACACGTTGTTGAATGCACTTGGGACCCCAAGTGCGGCTATTTCTACTTCTCCAGACTTTTGGAATGCCCCATTTTCACCGGACCGCCACTTATCTCAAGCAATGGATGCAATGCGTCGAGTGTGCTCCGAAATTGGATTTGTAAACGAAGTTTCGCTTGCCAGTCTGGATGATGATTTGCTGAGACTTCGCTCGAAATCGGTTGATGATCTCGGGCTGACAAGAACTCGAAATCCAGCAAAAGGGTAAGCATGTAACGCACATGTTGCTATATATGCTGATAGTACGCACTGACACGATCATGTGCCTAGATTCGGTCCTGTACAACACGGCATCGTGTCGCTGGTCACCGGATTATTCTTGTGTAGTCATGTGGCGTCCAAGGTGAGACTGTGGTTGACGTGCTGCGAATTCTGATGCGATCGCTCTGTGGTGTATCCTCGGATAGCCAAATTAAACTTCCGGGGGTTGTCTTTGCTTTGGATCGTGGATATCAGTCCAAGAAAGTAAACCGCCAAATTATGGAGTGTGGCGGCATAGTTATCGGGACTCATAAACGTGATTGCAGCTTTCCGTTCACATACGGAAAACTTGGTACTCAGAGGCAGACAGTGATGACGGAGAAAGGTGTCAAAACTACAAAATGGGCTACCATGAAGCACTCTGTCAAATCTACAGAGAGCACTTCTACGATGTGCGCTTTGGCTTATCGTTCTGGGCTTGGTAGTGTTGTACTATGCAACACTTCACTTAAATCGGCTGGTCCTGGAAAATGGTCGTATATTCCATTGCCTAGACCACAACAAGCTCATCGTGACATCCAAGGAAACGAATTTGCGAGTTTTGAAAGACGTGTGCTTATTCTGACGGAATGTCAGAGAACTCCCGACTGGTTTCTCATGCGCCAATTTCGCATTACTGGATTTGTTGCAGTTCAAATTCTCCGCGCAATTGCTAAGGCTTCTGAGAGTCCTGACGAGCTAGAACAAGCCTCCGAGAATCGGTGCAGTGTTTATCACAACTTGGCGCAGCAGACTTCCATTCAACTGGTGCAGAAAATATTAGGTATTATGACCGATTCAATCTCTGGTGCATCTCGATCTTCAACTGGTAGTGAGATTCCATCAGAGTCGGCTCTCAGCAAAATGAAAAACAAGGAATTGCATCAACTGTGTCGTGATCAAGGACTCACAGTGTCAGGAAACAAACGTGAGCTTATCGGCCGTCTTTTGAGCGGGGAAAGTGACACATATTCGAAAAAGAACACGATTAAATCTCCCGCTGCAGCGCTACTTAGCGCTTGGTTCTTAGCTCCAATATCGTCTACGGACATGAAAGTTGGATCTAAAAGCGAGGAAAACATTTGCTCACGTGTACCAAGGTTTCTTGAAGCACACTCAAACTTTCGTATTCCTCACACGAAGTCTTATGGTCTGCTTTGTTGGTACGTTGAACGACTGCCACAGCTACGTACCATTATTGATTTGTGAGAATGATGCATGATACAGCCCTGACGAGCGCTATTTGGCATTTTCTCCGGATGATATCGCATTGGTAACTCGGCCTTCTAGTAATGATTCATTTTTTGCTGTACTGGAGTATAAAACGAAGACTAGAGGCAATACTGTCGATACAGAGCGAAATATTGCAGTGCGATGCGGTAACTTCGCAACTGTAGAGCTGAATTCCCATTCTGATAGTCGGTACTTGAAGACGTTGATTCCCGACCAAGGGCACCAATCTCAGCTGCTACACAACATCATTTCTGGGTCTCTAAGAGATGGATTCATTGTGTATGCGTCGTCAACAGCAATACTTCGTGTCGTTCACGTTGTAATTGGTGACGATATTGTGGATGCTTATCGACTTGCTCTCCGGAATATCAAAGAAGCATGCATGGACTGGATCTACACACCCAACGCTTCCGTACAACCGTTTACAGTAGACGAACTAGGACATTGTGGAGACGTATCAACGCTGAAGCAGCATCTCGCATTATGGCGAATAGTTGAGGCTAAAACCGAAGAACGTGGAGGCCCACTACCTGCAGCAAAACACATAATCCCCAGCGTGATAGCGATCTGGAATCGAGTCAAAGGAGGAATCGACGTATATTCCCGGCACCTGAAGAATATAAAGCCATCGCACGAGCATTTACCACCCCTCGCTGCTATTTGGCTGCGGTTTTTGATGACTTTAGTTTACAACGCGTTCCAGTCAGCCCAGTTACTCAGCGTACGTTGTACATGGGAAACAATACACTGTACATGTACTCATTTCTGCGTATGTTTTGCTTAATATAGGGAGCCGCGTTCTTAATGGACGAAGATAGGTGCAAGTCCTACAGCAACTACCAACAACACAAAAGTGAAAATGCATCATTTCGAGATTTTTGCCGAGATGCCGCAAGCTGTTTGGGAGAACACGCTTATGACGACGACAGTATCGATGCACCAAGACGGCCGCTTTCTAAAATTGATACAAATGTCTTGAGCGCGAATGAGCTGGGAAGCATTGTTTTGAAGCCGCGTTCGTTTGCGTACCGGGTACGTGATCATTTTGACGATGGCCCCGAATAGCGGAAGCTTCGAAAGTCCAGTCGAGAGCTTCACAACGAGGTATGATCAGTTCATTCATTATGTGTTTGTGGAGCTAGAAAATTGACACTAACTACGTTCCTTCAGAGGTTGCTGCTTTCCGGAAAACAACTCCGATGTGTGCTGTGCTGTGAACGAGATCATGGTGAAGATAGCACTACCCACCATCGACTAGGATACAAGACTAGATACGAATGCTCCTTATGCAAGGTTGCTCTTTGCCACACGTCACGCTGGGAGAACGATGAATCTTGCTTTGACAAATTTCATTCATCGACCAAGCTGCCCGATGCATGTCAGCAAGCAGCAACAAAGACCAGGCAAATTCGTGCTCCACCCCCATTGCGTAAAAGATCACAAGCATCGGCTGAACAGTTTGAGCGACGAGTCACCCGACACAAATCAAAGCCACTGCGGCGATCGGTAAGATTGTCTACTGAGTCCGCCGCATAATAGCTTTTCCTAGGAACTAGGATAATACTCTATCTTTAGCAAAGATTAAGCGTCACACTTAAGCTTGTCTTTACAACATCAATGTGCATGCGTTTGGGCTGAGGTCCTCGAACCTTGCTAAACGAAGTCTTGACGTATGATGAGCCTAAATGTTTTTCAATTTGTGCTCTGGTTGCTCCAAAAGTGGCCATCAAAAATTGATCCTTCCATTTATCCTACCAAAATAGCTCACTGGGGTTAAGGGAAATCTATTCATTCTTACATTTCAGTCGTTGTGAGCACGTCATCTTGACAGCGAGTGCACTTAGGAGCCCAAACTGCGGAACTTCCAAATGAGCTTCGGAAACTGCTCAAGATGGCGGAGCGGCTCAAGTACAACAAGGACAGTGTACCCAAGAACTGGGATGGCAAGGACTGGTACACGTACAAGTGGGTCATGTAGGCGGTTTTCGGGGAGAGCGTCGTACAGACGGAGAGCCCGCTCCAGTACCGAGAAACAGCACTTCGAAGCCTGTGAACGGAAGCTGTGGTGGCGGCACAAATAGCGTATTGCAACTGCGCATTGGCACCGTCTTGAGCAGAGCGTGGCGCTCGCTGATGCGCGTCAATGGCGCCAAGCGCCACGGAGCTCGAGCCATCGACGCCATCGTGAGCGGCAAGATCGATCGCGACCAGCTCAGCGCAAGGTCGATTTCGACCTGAAGCATAAGCAAATTTGGCGGATGATTGGAGTGTCCGTGCCTCCGGAAATCCTGCAACAGATTAAGGACATGGCGTCCGGGGCAGACATCTGGGCAGCGTTAGTGGATCTGTTTGAAAACAAGACCAACGAGACCGTGAAAGTTCACACAACAAGACATTTGGCGAACGAGCTGTGGAGCATAAAGCTGGCACTGTAATGGGCCCAACTCCAATTACATAAGTAGGTAGATATTTCCTAAGTTATTACATAAGTAGGTAAAGTGGTACACGGGTAGCGTATGCCAAGGTGTCATCATCTGATTGGTTGATAGTGAGGAGCCAGACTCACTTACTGACCAATTAGGTATAGACATGTGTTTGAGTGGGTCACATGAGGCCAGGGGTAGCCGCCCTGGTCCTAAATAAATCAGAGTTGAATTGGACACAAACCTAAGACTTGGTTTTACTATTGCGAGCTTCCTCCACACTATAGTGTAAGCTAGTGACGGTATATCCTACCCCGTTACACCTGGTAGCACTTTGTAGTCCTTCCAACGACCAAGTCTACGATGAGCCAAGTCC